AGTCTATGTGGGAGTTCTCATTAAGTTGGAGAAAGGTCATTTTTGCTCTGAATGGCCTCCCCAAGAGAGAGGGCACTTAATATGAGAGATTTTTGGCTAACACAAGAACTGCTTTCCTTTCGCATTATCTGTACTTTCAAACAAGCAATTTCTTATTTGTTCTGCCTCATCCTCTGAGTCCAGGCTGAATTTGGAGAGGCCAAATAGTCTAGAGTGTCAGTTTTGTCCAGTTATCTCACAAATAAAGTTATTTGGCCTTAAGTCACTGTGGAAAATTTACATCAAGTAGCTTTTCCAGAAATACAAATAGAGTAAAACCAATGTCTTTACCAGTGACACTGATAATAACCCTTGGGATGAGATATGAACATGGTATACTGGGATCCAAAGAGTCACTAGTAGAAAGAATTTATGACCTGAATATTTTGTTTTACGAGCCTACGTTCTCTTCATGCTAGTTACTGTAGTGTTAAGCGTGTGTCTGCATTAGCAGCGTGGCTTGGAGCAGCGATGCAATTTTAAGCTTTTGGTTGTTAAGAGCTGCCTTCTGTTGATTAAGTTCTCGAAGTGTTTTGAGGTTTACCCTCTGAATGTTTTTCAGAGAAAACTAAACTGGGTGCTATGTTTCAAATAAGCTTAGTGGGGGCATTGATTTTGGCTTCTGTCTGAACCCACTCAGTCATAAAGCCTTCTAGCTCACACTTAACGCTCATTTACCACTGAAGGGCTCTGAAACCCTAGAAAGCCAGTGGCATGCTGAGGAACTCCTGTGCAATCCCCCTACTTCCGTCTCTCCAGTACCTCTCCATCACTTCCACTGCTACACTACTTCTTGTAAGTCCAGAGGATGAATTCAATCAGAAACAGATCTGGATTAAAACTAGCCTCTTGGTTTTGGGGGTTTTGTTGTTGTTGTTGCTGGGGGGTGGTGTTTGCCGTGTTGGGGTTAATCTGGATCAGTTTTCCAAAGTTCTTCTTAAATGTTGTGGGATTTAATTTTTTTTTAATATTTACAAATTATAAATCAGTGAGTGGAAACATGAAAAGCAGTTTACATTTTTGAAAAAGAGTCATTTTATAATGGTGTGGTGTGAAAGAGGAACTAAAAAAGAGGTTGTTCCAGTCTAAATTAAGATAATTCCACATTACTAACAGTGGGTATTAGCAGCAAGAGATCAAGACAAGAGTTTGGTGCTTAGCTCAAAGACCAAACTAAGGTCTTGGTTTCAGACCTTACTGAAAATGCAGGCCACACTAAATTTTCCACATAATTTTTAAAAAAATGAATAAAACTGATTAAGAGATGTTCTGGGTGGGTTTGATTACCATGCTAATAAAATGGGATTTGTTTTGGAATGTCCTAGAGTTGCGAAGAATATATTTGGTGAGAGACTACTTAGGTGGATAGAAAAATAAAAGTTTTCTCAGCCAAAAAAAAAAAATTTCTTTTCTCTTTTAACAGGAGGGCAATGGCAATCTTTGTAAACTGTGTGTTCTTTATTAAAGTGAAATACTTACCATTCAGGGGAAGAGCAGGCTGAAAGTGTCCATAAAAGAAAATAGTGGAGTAGTTAATTTTGTGCTTAATCACAAGGTAAGTTCCAGATTTATTTCTGAGATCTCAGTGGGAAAATATCAAGTGGTGCAAGTGTTGTAGAGTGTTAATCTTGTCTCATGTAGAGAAATAGGAACTGTAGAGATTATGTCTCTGTTCAGTATTTAAATATAAAT